CAATTCTGACTTTCAGCTGGCATGGAAAACATGTATGGAAGTAGATAAACTTATTTAAGACCTAATGAAGGTCATTAGTAATGATTAATGATCACAAACACAAGATTGAAGACCAAATACGGAGGCATAATATGTGAGAACAAAGAAAATGTGAAGAGCCTAATATGTTAAGTACCTCAGAGATGAGAGCAATTTGTTAAAAGTGGGGCTTCTTTGCAGCTAATTATTCAAATAATCTTGTTCAAAGTGAGGTTATGATCTTTCCACCGGTTATCTAGACACAATCGCAAGAAAATGCAGAAGAGACAAGCATGTTTGTGGGAGTGATCTACAGACAAGGGCGAGTGAAGTGCCTCAGTGACTGGAATACTGAATAATCTGAAGGTGCAGAAGACTTATCAGATATACACCACCAATCAATGGCATTTAATCGAAAGAGAAAAATTAACTTTAAACATAACCGAAACATTAATTCTGTGCAAATTGTGCATTAATGTTCCCAGGATAGTGAACCAATTTAGTATTTCTATTCAAAGGATTCGATCTGCACTCTAAATAATTTCAATATCTTGTAAAACTAATTCACACAGACTCCTCTCTACTTGTTACCTGACATGTTTGTTTTTCAGACTGTAATAATGTTGAACTTATTCCTGCCGTGCATTTTTTTCACTTCTCTTTACCATGGAAAAAGTCACAGTGTCATAGCCCTTGTCTTTTGCTTTAGTGTTAACATCTCAAGGCTAGGCTGAGTAGGGCAGGCTGTTGACAAGCCACTCGTGAAGCTTTGGGTGGGTTCCTGCTCTCTGGCTGGTGGTTCTGCTGCTCACCAGGACAGCCAGCTCCAGCACCCAGTGTCCTCAAGACTGTATGCCCCTCTTGAATGGTAATCAGACCATATCCCGCATTCCTATAGACCCTTTTCCCTGTTTTCTCATATTTCCAATGTGGTCTAAGATCATTTACCAGAGCGACTCACTTGCTTTCATCAAGCTGGTTCCTTTTTTTCTGGAATCTCCTTGGGGAGACAAGGGGAGATACATTTTTGCCATAAAGTTTGTTTTAGGCTTTTATAATATTCTTTAAACAAAAACAGTTTGTGCTGCATTTTCCTCTTTAACTTTATAATTGGTTGTTTGTCTTGCTAGAAATTCATAGCCATTTTCCAGACTGCAGACTCCAGACTCAAACAGGGTCACACCAGGACTTATAAAGCACTCTATTAAAAATACTTCTGCGTTTTCTTGGGTCATTGTTTTGTTTTAGGAATGCAAAATGCAAAACCAGAAAGAGAGAGGGAAGTCTTTAGTGCTTCATTAACATTTCTGTGATTTCTTCAAATTATTTGAATCCCTTCCTGTCAAACCATAGTGTTTTTGACTAGCGTGAAATAATAACATCTTCAACGCTCCAGCATAATCCTGGAGCATAAGTTTTGTCATGTTGTTTTTGTCTTGAGAAGAAAATGTCTTATGTTGCTGAAGACTTGGTTGTTGTATTGCCTTCTATTACTGAGCAGTTGGAAATAAAATGGAAAGTTGATGGCGGACTGGTCAAGCATGGGATTGCTACTTGAGATTTCTTCGTGTATGTGTGTGTGTGCGTGTAGGTGTGTGTGTGTACGTGTGTGTATGTGTGTGTGTTAAAAAGTGAGGATTGTGGATTTGTCTGGAGCAACCACAGTTGGAGTAGCAATACTTAACAATTAATAATCCAGTTTTATCCTCATAGGATGCGATCATTCTCTGCTGCTGAATTGGTTGTCTTGTTGACAAAAATTCACCATTCACTTTAAAAACAATGCTGATTTTGTGACCAGTAGGTAGAAATGGTCAATTTCTGGTTATGCAACAGCCATGATGAACATAACACCTTTTCAGTTGGTTGTCTCTGTCTGTAAAAAACAGTTCATGGAAACTATCCGCAGCAGTTAATCTCATGTGACATGAGCTCTACGTTAAAACATCAATGTAAAGATACTTTTGAGTTTGATCTGTAATACAGCACAGCACTCTAGTGGCCACCAGGGTAATACCTGTGTGTGTATTGTAATTGTATCTTTATGAAGGCTAATTCAAGTTACAGACCTTAGTACTGAGGATACCTGTATTCCAACCCTGGCTTTATGAGCGGATTGACAATAAAACTTTAAGCTTTAAAGCTTTAAAGTTCATTGTAGGCTTTGAGGTCAGGGTTTGGGAAAAGCTATGGGCCCTCATGATAAAATGTCTAAGTAACCCTCTTATTGGCCCCAGCAAAGATACAAATATGAATATAGTGAGTGTGTGAGTTTGAGGATTGGAGACTTTTGCAGAGACAAATGAAAATGTTGCTGTTACTTCATTGGGAGTGTGTAACTAAAAAACAGTTTTAATCAATATTAATGACAAATAATCATTCCATCAAAACAACCACATAGTTCCTGTAAAACACTTCACATGCATGCAGATGATGTCATACAATCAGATTTTGACACAAACATCAAAAACATCAAAGCCTTTCTTTCCATTTGGGTTCTGACTTAACAAAATTATTATTTGAGCTGTTTCTCTTTAATTATTTGCTCATACCACACACATGCGACTCAGCACTGCGTTGATACATACATCAGTGCATACATTAATAAGTCCTGACTTTCACAACATTAACACAATACACTTTCTACCTTCTGTCACAATGACACTCTCCAAGTTCTGGATCAGATTGAACTCCCAAAAGCTGTCTCCTCTGACAACAGTAGCAATCTTTTACTGTAATTTCATGCTGAATGCGTCCTAACCTTTTTTCCCCCTGTTTTTTCCCCACTTATTTATGTGTGTGCACTCATTCATCTCTCTGCTCTTTTAGCTGACAGTTGGTTCATTTGCCTCTTCCAGTGCTGTCCACTGCTTTTTCTTCTTCTGCTGTGGTTTGTGTTCCTCGATCTGAGGTGAAGAAAAGTCAGGAATTGTGATGTCCATATTTAACTCATGCAAAAGGTGCTCTGGGCCTGTGGTTCTTTTTATATATATATATACAGCACATTAAATTCTTACAATGGATTTCCTCACATTAAAACAAAAACTACTGCTTTTTAATTCTTGTATTACCATTTTGTTTAGCTCATACCGATCATTCAAGGACACACATGGGCACTGAGTGAGTGAAGGGAGTCGTCCGACCAATTTCTTACTTGCTGTCTACTCAGAGTGAATAACAATTCCGCTGAGCCCGTTCTATTTGACATTGTGGAAGCGTTGTGTTCATAAAGATGGTTTCTTTGAGTCAGCCTGATGCAGCACTCACTGAATCAGTGGTGCCTCACATCCATATACCACATACATTGATTTTAATCCAATATACAATAAAAAATTTGAATGAAGTAGCTGTTTAGAGCTTCATCTACACCTGTTTCTGTCAGAAACAGAAAAATCGTCTCTCACTTTGATATAGAACATTCTGCTGTCCTGCTCTCACAAATATTAGCATATTTGACCTCATATTATGGTGAAACATGAGATGAAATTTTTCTCTATGACAACTCACACTCACGCTGCTGAGCTGCAGTAAACCAAGGATTTGTTCTGCAAGGACTGGAAAGAACTAGTGAAAAAAAAAAACAACAACAAAAAAACTCAGCTACATAAGTAAGCAAAATTGCAATTAAAAGCAAGGCTTTATTTGCTACTTTTAAGCTTCATTGAAGGTTAATTAAAAAACATCATGCCTGTGTGCTGCTTGTTTTGGAACAACTGTTTCTGTTGCCCAATATTGATTGAAATGTACCAGGCCATAGGAGCAGCTTAATTTAAAACCCAATCAAATTCACTCTCACAAACACTTCATAAAAGCTTCGTATAATCATCTTCACTTTGTTGCAGTTATTTCCAGGGAAATAATCATGTAGAATAATGTTGGAGTAATGGCGGAACCTTGAATTTAATTTATTGGAAAATACCAGGGAAACTTAAAGTGCACATTATGTCATTTGTCAGTCTGTTTCAAACTTCTGGGAGAATAAACAAACAAAAAAATGTGAATTGAGAAACGTTTCGCTTTGCATACTTTTACTAAATGCAGGAAAGTATTTTGTGCTGCTCAGTGCTATGGACTGAAAGCACTTAGTCTTAAAAGGACATATCATTCTTAACTCTTTAATGTACTGATCATCCTTTTGGTATGGTGCATTTTTCAGTGAGTCTACTGCACTGTGTTAGATATAGTCTCTCGTCTGGACATCTCCAACTCTAGAAACAGCTATACCCTTTTTTCCTTGAAAAGACCATGATGTGTAGGGTGTACTCATCTATGCCCAATTATCAGTCATCAAAGAGTCCATCCACTTCTGATTCACCTCCCGTCTAGACTGCAAGTCAATTTGCAATAAAAAAAACTCAATAAAAACATGACATGACCACTTTTGCTTCTCACTTGCTTGTCAGTGAGTTTAATTGTACTGAACTTTTTAGTTGCCTGTATATTTGGAGTTTTCAAGACCAATGATGAGAGCTTTAGATTTAAAGGGGAAAACAGTCAAACAGAATCAAATCACCAGAGCCTACAGCTCTCCAATTTGAAATGCCAAGACAAGATTTGAGTTACTAATCATCCCTCTTCCTCTTAACCTCCCTACATGTACAAACCTAGAATTGGTTGTTGCTGTAGTTTGCATGATTTGGGATAGGCTACTATTTGGAATCAAATGAAGTTACTCTGAGTGGATGTGATTTGGGCTACTCAACAGCCACAGTTTTACATTGATTATGTGCTTTCAGCAATTAATAGTAGTCCACCACCAAATATGTCCAATTCTGCAAAACACTGACACTGGAGTAATTGGTTGATTAAACTGTGGTAGCAATGAGATAGGGCCATGTTATCATGGCATGTGTCACTACTACTACTAGTACAAATTAACACCGTTTGATGGCTAACATCAAACCATTGCACTGTCTATTAATGTAAATATTCAGATGGATATGTAGATATTAAGCTTCCCCGCGAATCTCACACGTTTGCACACAAACACCCGGCTACCAACGCTGGTAGTGACGTCATCACGCAGAGCCCGTCTGCTAAACACATTCGAGCACGTTGGTTTCGGTTTGTGCAGGAGGTAGGATGACAGAGCTGTGTTGGAGCTGCTCAAAATATAGTGATTTGGGTAATATTCAAGTTTAAACTTCGGACAAGTGTATATGTAGAGTTAGGAGGTTTTACACTGACGTGAAAAATATTCGTAATTATTTCCACTGTGGCGTTTCAGTCTCACGGTAGCTGTTAAGCTAACGTTAGCTGCTAAGCTGCAGCAGTAGTTGAGTGTAGAGGGTTTTTTCACTCCCTCTGAGCTGGAAAGTGACTGAAATACGTATTGTTCTGCAAGTTGCTGTGTGTAAAATCAGGTGAGGATACATGCTCAACTAATTGTTTTCTATGTTAACAGTCACCTACACTACCTGATGTCTTAATTAAGATAAAGTGTTACTTTTCTTTTGGGAACTTTTGAGTTTGAGTTAGTTTAATATCTTGCATCCTTTGGTGTAAGTCATTTTAAAGAGATGCAACACAGAGAACACCCACATAATTTAGTTAAGAAGTAAAGGTTCATGTTTATTTTGTAAGATAAATGCTTAAATCTTATTTGTGTTTTTCCCCCTTGCATTAGTTGCTGGTAAACAATGTGTTGTCCTTTATTTTTGCATTTGAAAGATCTCAATAGGTCAACTGATTTAACTTCCTGGCAGACTGATCAAGCAAACTGCAATGCTGAATACAAAAACACGCCTCTGTTTTTGTTCTATAATCTATATTTATATATCTATAATCTGTTATCTTAAATCGTGCCTGAATAATAAGGTGCATTCCCTTGTGTCTTCAATGTGGCTTTAATATTGTTGTACATGCGTATCATGACAATGAAATGCATTCTGATTCTGATTTTATTTCCTCTCCTCAGGATTAACACAATGTCTGAACCTATCATCAAATCGAAACAAGCAAACAAAGAAGTGAACGGAATTTCAACAGAAGTCATCTGCACAGAGTTCAGTAATTACATATTTGTAGTTCTCACTCAGTACGGCAAAATCGGGACATTGATTTCTGTCACGCCTGACTCAAGGTCTAATGATATCAGCACCCCGACATTCTCCACCAAAGTACTGCTGGGCAAAGACGAGGTACGCTGGATGAAATCGTTCGGATGAATATTGTATCAGTGGGTTTTATAGACCCGTTCACAGGACATCAGGCATGCTTGTTGTCACATGGGATAACTCATTTCACGCGGTGAAAGGGCAGATGAGATTGGTTGTGAACTGCTCTGGCAGATTGTGGGGAAATTAAATGTGCGGAGGCATGGGGTTCAGTGGTCTTTTAAAATTTACACAAGGAAACTAATTTCGTCTCTGCAGGAACCTGTCGTTTTAACAGGCACACGGTGCAGAGGATGTGTCATCAGTGGGAAAAGTAAATTAATACTAAGTTTCTTTGTGAAGTAAAGAGAGGATTTGTGTGTTTTCCGCATAAAGGACTGAAGGACCTGTAGAGTACCAAAAAATACAAAGATTTAGTAAAGTTGATGGGTGAAGGCTGCATCGTTAATATATCTTTAAACGGTGGATTACTTTTCACGTTATGTGTGTGGAATTTGGGACTAATGTCACATGGCAGATGCGGCAAATGAATATATTTACTACATATGTCTTGAAAATGCCACATAGATAATTGAAAAAGTATTACGTCTGTGCATAAATTACAACTATGCCCAACTTTTGAAATGCGACTGGACATTGTATGTTCATTTTGAAACAGACTTGTTGCATGTAGATATATTTTTTTTTACTTGTCTGATCTGATATATATATATTTTCCCCTGTTTTTCAGCCACTGACGCACGTCTGTGCCAAAAACCTGGCCACCTTCATTTCCCAAGAAGCTGGAAACAGGCCCATCTTATTGGGATTGGCTCTGAAGGATTCCTCCGTAGATACAATAAAACAACTTAAAGAGATTCTCGTCAGTTGTAAAGTCTGGTAGTCTGAAGAAAATGGGCGTGAAAACTTAAAATGAACGTGTTCTGGAGCCACAGTTTTCTAGTCTTGTTGAAAGCTTAATTCTTTCCCAAGTTAAAACTATTGCTGGATTCAAAACTGCTTCAACAGAAAAGTGTCTGAATAAAGAATGTTTTCAAAAACTGTTGACATTTTTGAATAAAAAAGATTTATCCTCTTGGAAACGTCAAAATTTTGCCCGTTGCGAAGATGTATGTTCCATCTATTCCTGCTCCCTCAGAAACAAACCAATGTAAAATGAAGAAAACAGATCCCTGTGTCTTCACTGTATGGAAAATATATTGAACTTACAGTTGTATTTTTTTCATTTTTCTATTCCAAAATACAATTGTCTAACCTTGTCTTGATGAGAATTTATAAATAAACCTAAAACACTTTCATATGAAACTATGCGTTTTTGCTCTTTAAACTCTGATCTTCACAATGAAATACTTGAGTGCTTTATTTTACTGTGTGAAGGAGCATTTGTTCAAATAATGCATTTCTGCCCCTTTGTTATTTTACAGTGAACATTTAACAGGACCCCATAAATGTACTTTTAAATACTTGAGAAATATTGACATAAATATTCTTTATTTTGTGTCAATCATCCTAAAAGTATATTTAGTTCACATCAGAAGAGGGCAGCTAAGATCAAAGTTTGTAGGAGAGCTGATTTACAGCTATAGTTAACCAGTAAAAGAGTACACGCTTTGTATCTAACATCCCATTACTATTACAAAGCAGTACGTCATTTCTTCTTTGAAGGGGACTGTTCACTTTACACCGGTGTCTAGTTTCCTGTCGCCAACTGTGCTCACAAGAGGAAACTGAGATGTTTTGAAATAGCGCATTTGAGTGCCTGTCACGCCCAAAGTTCAACCACAATCCGCCCGTTACGCCATGACGACATCCGCGGGGGCGAACCACGTGACTTCTTCACCTGTGCCCAACCTGTTTACGTCCGCTGCTGAGCTCCAGTCTCCGCTGAAGGATAGAGTTAAAGCTCCACAATTTACAAAGACACGTTTGGACACTCTTGCGTACTTGTAAGACTTACTTATTACGCGTTCACTTTGTGGAAACTTTTATATTGATTTTAACGCGTTATTGTGGACTTCGACCTCTGCGAGGCACCTGTCACAAAACAAGGAAGTCTGTCCGTGTAACAAACGCCGTTGATGAGCTCGAATGATCCACGGAGAATATGCGTAAAGGCGCTTAGTTTGGAGGTTCTGAAGGGCGCTTTCATTCTTGATGCTGATCCTATAACGCAGGCTCGTGTCAATCCTGGGATGTTTGTTGACGGTGCCATCTAGACTGGACAAAGTTTCTTTCACTCTAACCGGGACAAGGTGAGCCGTTTGTTGGCAGCAGAGAAAGCTACATAAGCTGAGATCCTTTGAACATCAGTCGTTGGCTCGTCTCTTTAAGATACGGGCACATTCTTTCTGAGGATAATGGAAGTAAGAAACATATCTTTACCTTTTTGCCCACCTGGCTGCATGAGCCCACAGAGCAAGTGCTCTCTGCTTAACCTGTATGACTGCCGTTGATTTCTGAGGTGTCTTGTCTTTTTCAGATGAACTTTTCCGCAGAGATGGACCCATCAACCGAAAACGATTCGATTGTCCACCTGGATGCCCCGATTCTCCCGGACAACGTGACCATCATTCGAACCGGAAACGGTTCAATCATACAGGATCAGATGTTTCTGAACACCATGGTGGCTCAGGCCCTCTCGGGGATATTTGTGTGGTCTGCCTTGCTGATAACGTGTCACCAGGTGGGTTTGCGGCCTTCTAGGTCAGGATTTAGTCTTCTTTGTTTTTTTTTATATCAAATTGCAATCCCAGAAAATCACCGCATCACACGACGCTGATACGTGACACGGCCCCGACACCCTGGGCTCACAATTATGTAAATGTTTCATGAGAGTGTGTTTGGGACAGCAGACTGCGCCTCCTGTGCCTTAGGTGACAAACCCATTCCTATGTTTTCTTAAATGCGATATTCATTTTCAGGTCAGCAGTGAATTGGAGGTGCCAGCTCATACCACTTCCTCTCATGCTCTGGCTCTGTTATTTCAACTTAAAAAAAAAGAAGAAAGCTTTTATTTCCAGACAGACATTAATGTGCTCACCATGCCTGCGTGTCCTCACTTCATCGTGGGAGTGTTTTTGGCCTCGATTCGGGCCACATTAAAATGAGCAAAGTCCTCCAGCTGATTATAATAGAATGGAAACGCAGCAAGCCGACTCGGCGTGGGGGTAGGCAATGGTCAGGAGGAACAAATGGCTCAGCGCAGACCACCTTTCCACGCAGCTGTTTCATTACTGATGCGAGAGGAGAGCGTTTCTTCTCTCGGGCAAGAGTAGCCCACTGTGCCGAAATGATAGCTTATCATTACGGCTTTATCGTTTGCCCAGAATGCGGAGGGGTGCTGTGTGATATCAGCAGGGCAATCAGTGGACACTCAGGCAACATTTAAAGCTTTATTAAGAGTGAGTGTTGTTTTCCATTTTTGCCGTGGTCGCTGCCATGCTGCTCTGATACTGAATTTACATTCATCCAGCATCCTTCTCAGGCTGTGTTATATGTATGCGGCCATGTATTTGTATGTTATGGGTTGCCATTAATGAAGCAGTAAGCTGTACATCAGGGAAACATGCTCTGGCAGAGCGCCGACAAATTGCACCCCTTAAAGAAGAGAAGAAAAGAAAAAGCAACAATCTGTGTTTGGGGATTTGTGACTCAATATCTTGTAATTTGGTTTCTATCTTTTTAATATACTATGTATTTGACCAAACGGTTGCCAGCTAGACGTTTTAATTGAACAAATAAATAGCAAGTGTTCCGCTGGGAGGCTGGAGCAGGTTTGCGGCGGGCATCTTTTGTCACACTGGGGGAATAAAATGCTCTGCAGGACTATTGTTATAATGCATGCCGCTCGTGTTTCCTCTGGCTTGGCTCTGGAGGATTGCTATAGACTCTTAAATGCACTTTCTGAATACTAAGCACAGATTGACAATGACCTTAGATCATCTCTGTTGTGATGTAGCCAACTCTTTTTTAGACTTGTAATCCATGGAGGGTGGCTCGTTTTTCACGGTGGTCTCTTTGGTGCCGCTGCGCCTTGAAGCGTTTGTGTCTGAGAACAGAAGATCAATCCCATCCTGTGTGATTGTGTTTGTACATGGTGCGATCCTGTTGCCAGGGATATGTAGATTCTCCTCAGGTTTAGGTTATCTGCCCTCAGTCAGAGCAGAACCGGCAGAAATGATACTCATCTTGAAGATTATTCTGCTGTACGGTCAGTGTCACCAGTGTGGAAGGACAGTTCTGTTTTTCCCCTTTTCAACCAAACCGAGCACCTCAGTTCTCATGTAAAAGTGCATCGCACGCTCCTACCGACAGCCACGAGGCTTTGATGTGTAGCCTCTAATCAACCTTTAATCAAGCCGAATGTGTCGGGGTGAGACTCTGAGCGTTGAGAGGGTTGTGGGTGTCTTTAAAATAATAATAAGGTGTTAGAAAATGCTTTAAGTTCCACATCTTTGGCCTGTGATTGTCTCAGCTGAAGTTTAAACATGACGTCAGTAGAAAATTATCCATATGATCAAATCTGTAAATGATAGTAAGAGGATCCAAACCAGGAAGAGTGAGGAATTCCCACCACCGCTAACAGAAGCTCACTGGTGTTGTCGTAGGTTTAGCCAGCAGAGCTGGTTGTGATCGCTACTCTGCTTTAGACGCCAGTTGGCATTTGTTCTTTATGAGAAGATTAGATGTGATGTTTTTATTTTCAACCTTTAAAAGGGTAATTGTTAGTGTGATTTTTTTCTCTATTCACTTCTTTTCACAGCAACATATTCAGAGTGGGGAAATAATTTGACAGATTTTTAAAACTGAACCTGAGAATTACTAAATCAAAAACATCCTGGTGATGTCAGATTTGGCAGTGAACAGAACTATTGTGAGGTTTTTGTTTAACATTTCTCAGCGGCGTTGTTGAGTTGTTCACTTGGTGGGATAATCTCCTGCATCCATGTGATGATTTGACATCACCTCATAGTCCTGGAACAATCTGTTGTTGTCTCACTTGATCAGTGATATTTGAAGATAATTGTTGTTTGATATATAAATGTAACTTAGTGCTGTAGAGCCCCTTCTCTCGAATGTTGGGTAACTATGTGAGCCCTTTTCTCAAACCTAAAGGTCACTTAAAAGACTGAAGGGGGTCTTATCTGCCTTATGCTGTTTGTATTCCCCAACCTGTTGTCTGATGCACCACATTCCATTTATGGAGGCCATGCGGGGCCATGAGGGGGAGTGTGTGTGTGTGTGTGTGTGTGTGTTTGAGTTAAAGCTAAAGGTTAAGACCTTTATCAGCTCAGTGAAACTGTCTTTATGCAGTGATGTTGTTGTCTCTCCCTGTAGAAGAAGTGAGAGCTGCTCAGTGCTCTGGGTGTGGTCGCTGGGTGTAAAGGAACGTTCTGGGAGATCATTAAAATGGGAGTGGGATAATCTCTTTTTATTCAGACAACCTTGTTGTTGCGTTTCACAACGGCAGACTGATCATTGCGTAAAAGACTACATGCATAATGGACATGAATAATTCCATTCAGATTGCAACTCCCTTACGATCTCTGTAAGTGGGGGTTTCTGCCTTCTTGTTGTTTATGTCACCTCAGTGCTGCTGGGTTTGACAAGAGCTAACATACTTCTGTTTGGTTTTCTCCCACCCATTTATTTTTGTTTAATTAAAATGGAAAAAATGTCATTATTTGAGTTATTCAATAGTAAAAATATTTCTATTGTAAATAGAAATATTTTTACTGTATCCACAGAACTAAATAGTCTTTGAGCTGTTCAGTTTTATTAATTATTTGCAATCACTCTGTTCCAATCTTTATCTCTGTTACTAAAGAGATAAAAAATAATTTAGCTGTCTTTTTAAATATCGTATTTTGAACATGGTCAATATGTGGCCTAAAAAGATTGCCATCTTAGCAGTAGGACTTGCCAGTAATGCTTCTGAAATATATGCTGTTGACTCAAGAGCTGCAATTACGTTGTAAGAAAAGACACAAAAGCAATAAACCAAAGTGCAAAATAATCTCCGCTCCGGTTTTAGACATGTGATATTTGGTCATTCTCTTACTAAGTAAATTGTACATGCTTATTTTAAAGCATAATGTGAATGGCATTTAAGAAGAACATATTGTATTTTTAATACAAATGCTTAAGGTTTAAGTAACAATTCAGATTGTACATTTTCTGTGATTATGTAAAAAAAAAAAGAGGTTTCTCTCGTAGTTTCTACATTATGCTCTCTCTGTGTTTTCATTACAGATCTATACACATCTTCGCTCCTACACTGTCCCCAATGAGCAGCGCTACATCATCCGCATCCTGTTTATTGTTCCAGTTTATGCCTTTGATTCCTGGCTCAGCCTCCTCTTCATCAGCAATGACCAGTACTATGTCTATTTTGATTCCGTTCGAGATTGTTATGAAGGTAGGTGTCTCACGCTGTAAACATGTCTACCAGGTGATTTCCATTCTGGATGCCACAGATTTGTTTCCCAGGTCACTGCTTGGAACAGAAAGACGAGGAAGTGACCAAACTAGTTTTCCCACTCTGGCCATTGTTCACATATTCATAGGTCTTCTTATCAGAGTGCTAACATTTCAAGTAGGGGCATCCATGTTGTGATGTTTTTCTTCCTAAATTCCTACCGTGGTTTTCAACGCCGTACGACATTACAAAACCCGGACTGCAGTTTGAGTGCAGTTGTACAGTTTAGCTTTAATGATGTGTTGAAGTTTTCAGACCACAGTACTTCACCAATAGCAAAGGTAAACCATATGCTAAATGGATTACCAGTAATTTCAGATGGAAAAATGGAAAATCCATTATTCAACAGATTAGTGTCCCGTTTGTTGGCCAATTTTGTGGCTGATTGATAGAGCAGTCCATCAGAAATCGCAGAAAACTGAAATGCTGCCAGCAACTGCGGCTAAAACATAATGAACCTTCTCTTGACTGGACACCATCTGCATTAGCTTCATTTAATCCCTCCTTAAATAGCAGCAAAGGATTAAGAAGGGATTTCCAAGACACAGAACCCTTAGAAGCTTCTTAATGTAAGGACTGAAACGTTCATTGTTCCAAAATATAGGACTAATTATTATTTTTTTGTCGTGAAAGTTTTTCTTTTCTACCTGAAATTGTTTGACCTTTTCTGTAAAGTTACCCTCGAAGGAGATGAAGTCACGTGACGCAGCATGTTTGATGTCAAGTCTCAGAGAGAAGTAACTTCTCTTTTTGTTACAGCGTTTGTCATTTACAATTTCCTGAGCCTGTCCTTTGAGTACCTCGGAGGAGAGAGTGCCATCATGTCAGAGATTCGAGGGAAGCCCATACAGTGAGTGCACTACAGCCACGTTATCCACTCACTCGGAACTGAAAGTGTTGTTTAATGTGATGATTCAAAAGTAATAATGAACTATGATATGAGAATCTTCACAGATATGGTGTCGTTATTTCTGTACGCTAACATAAGCCACAACATGGAGGTGAAAACTATGGCAATAAACATCTTCTCAGCTGCCACTACTCTGTTATCGCCCAGCCTCTGATAAATCTTTATGGGCTATTTTTATGCTTTGTCCATGCAAACATTTACCGTTTATCAGGACTATCTGGACAGCTCCAAACCCTGAAAACTTCAATAATGTTGTAGCCCATAGATATTTTAGTTTACATGCAATTGTTTTTCGTCCTAATTTGAATTCCTATCTGCCTTCTTTAACGTTACTTTGGTTGCATTTGAGTGCTTGAATGTAAATGTACTATTGTTGCATGAACATGATTGAACCCATCGTTTCCTGTTACTTTCACAGGTCAAGTTGTCTGTATGGTACCTGTTGCCTTGGTGGAATTAGCTACTCCATTGGCTTTTTAAGATTCTGCAAACAGGTGAGCTGCAGTCATTGCCCTTTTTCTGCTCCATTGATGGCCCTATTTTTTTTAAAGCTGTGAAAAAATTTTCAGTTGCAGATCTCCGGACTGCTGAATGATGACGGTTTTTGTAATTGGTTGTGCGTTTCTCACTGGGTAATATACTGCGGAAACAAAAAGGGGGAAAACAAACAGAGCCCAGGCTTGGTGATATGCGCTGATAGATTATTTGAAGGGTCAGCACTGAGCTCCTTCTTAGTGACTGGGGATGCTGTCCAAGCATCCTCCAAAACTGTGATGGATATAGAAACTGAGAGATTCCTCTTGAAAGCAAGAAGTCATTGATAAATGGTGTAGTTTGACAAGACTACTCTATTTAATCTTTTATAAGGAAAACAGTGGAAAGCATTTCACGTGTTTTACCTTGAAGTACATTAAGGTTTTTTTTTTTTTAAGATTGAGCATTGCGTATAATACTTAGCATTCTATCATTTTACTGTTATTTGTTAGTCTAAAAATGTCTGAAGGTTTGTTTAGCCCTTTGCATGCTGCATTTAAATGAGGTCTTTCTGACTCATTTTTCAGATAAGACTTTTCAGAAATTGATAGAAATACATTCTGTTAATTATTAAACGTTATTTGAAATGTAACCGTAAATAAGTGTGTCTTACAAATGTTTGCAGACTTTCTATTGTAAGCCATGATATCTGTACATGAGACTATGCAATCAGAATGTTAATGATATTGATAATTTTTCTTGAATCTGCAGCAGTGGTTAGAGAGGTTTGTAAAGCAGGAGCTTTTTCAGCTGTTCATTACATGAAACCTCCAGAATATTAATTATGAACTTAATTATTAGCTTACAACAACAAACTGTCCTTGTCCACACAAACACAGGTTTCCTGTCAATCCAAAATTATCATAAAGGTTTATTGAAGCAACCTACAAGCATGTTCTTCTTATCTCACGTTTTCTGTTTGCGTTGGCAGTTATCAGCTATAACAGTTTATTACTATTTTTGCATCGAGTGCATGAACGCTGTTAGGGTTCACTAAATGCATAAATCACTGTCAACTTTGGGCACTGCCACCATAAATGTAGATTTCTTTTGATAATCAAGCACGTCAGCACTTTTGTTACATTATTTACTTTGAGGATATTCAGGCTGACAAACTGGCACTAAAACAGGCTTAAGGCTAGATAGACTGTCAGCACGTAAAGCTTCAAAGTAAATCAGTTGCCCTCAGTGATAAACGCATATCAATGCAAACCGAGTTTACCGAGCACGCCCCTAACTCTGGTCATTCCAGAAAAGCTTCCCCCTGGCTTATCCAGTTCAACACTTCTGGTCTGTTGCTTTCATGTGCGGTAGCCTCTGTCAAATCAGTTTGTTCAGGCTTCAGCACACAGCACAGAAGACACCTAACCTGCTGCATTGTGCTGCATGCATCCTCACAGTCTCACATCGACACCATGCCGGCATCCTGGAGGACACTTTTGTCCTCTGAAGGAACATACTCTTTAAAGATAATTTCTCAAAGCTCTTAATGGCTGTAAAAATGTGCCATTTTGTCATGTTGTTGCTTTAGAACCAGGTGCCAGTTTGGGTGTGAGAGAAAATGCTCCCTTTCAGGTTTAACGATGAAACAAAAAGAAATCTTTTTCAGAGGGGTTATTTGTAATTTGTTGGTCTTTTGGTCCTCTTTTCCTTCTTGTGTTTACATTTTGGCTTTTACACCTACTGCTGTTACAAGACTGCTAACTGCTAATTTATGTTGACATTAGAACAGTTTTTTTTTATTTGGGAGGAAGTTGTATTTTATTCATGTTCATGGTTTTCTTTTAATAATATCTGCATATTGAATCTAAAGCTGGGACCAAAGCGTAGTATCTTAGATTAAAGACTGAAAATGGATTTGCACAGAAACCAAAGCTTTTAGTCACTGCTGGTCCATTTTCCCACAACCACCAGAGATTTCAGCTGGTCATTAAGGCCAGAAAATGGCCAAACATTTAACCTCAAATGAAACAGAAAATCTGTATTTTGAACTTTTTTACTGGGGAGCTTTAGTTGTGCAAGTAGATTTATTGGTTTCCTTTCTAATCCTGTTAAAAAAAAAAGAAACTCCCAAACTGTTGTTTTGGGTAAGAACAAAAGTGTATGGCTCTAATAGTGAGAACAGCCTCTGGTTAGATATATTGTTTGGGGAACAGAGTCCTATGTTGTTAGTTAGTTGTTCCTCATCTTCTCATCTCCATCTCATCTGACAGCCAGATTCTGACATCGTCGTGCTTCTTTGTGGTGTCGTTGTTTGTTGTCTCATTCTGAATTGTCGTGTGTCCTCCAGGCGACTCTCCAGTTCTGCGTGGTCAAACCCGTCATGGCAGCCATCACCATCATCCTGCAGGCCTTTGGCAAATACCATGATGGAGATTTTAAGTGAGCAGCACTTCCCTTTGTATCTCATTCTCTGTGTCCCCGACCCATGCATGTCATGCCAGGAGGCTTGTTTGCCGTTTATGTGTACATGGAAACAATTTAGAAATGGAGACAGCCGTATCACTTCCTTACAGAAGGTTTAGTATAAAGGTTTTCAATTAAAAGTTCATTTGATGTATAAGTCAACACACTTTTGCAGCCGCTCTGACAGATTTTGGCTTTTTAGTAATATGCACGTCTTTCCATTTATGGCCTAAAAATAATATCCTAAAAAATTATTCTACTGTTGTTAATTCTTTGAAATAAAATAATTTCTTAATTGTTATCAGCTGCTACTCTTGCAGAAGAATATTCACGTTTCTAATTTGATGCCAAAGCTTGGAATGAATTGCAGACTGACAAGTCTAATGGAGATGGGCTGCTAAGGGGCTCAACAGAAAGGGGATAATTTGTCCAATTAAATTGTCATTAATGACTAGTCAAAGCTATAAATTCAGCTTGACGTCTTTTCAGGTGCCTCTCAGCTCGCTGTCTGTGTCTGAAGAGTCAGCTGTGACAACACTTGTTTCTGAACTATTCAGCCGCCGCAGACTTCAATGCGGGCATCATACAGAAGTTTCTTTATTATCATCCTCTTGCCGCTAAAAGATAATCTTGACTCCGTTCTTCCTCTAATACTTCAGTCAAAAATAATCAGACAGAAAAGAAACCTTCCTCCGTCTTTATTTGAGCCTTGCAGTAAGACCACGATGATTCACAGATTGTTTACTTATACGCTATCAACCAGCCGTGCACTCTGTACTCCACCAGAGTAATTAGTGTTGTCACAGTTGAGTCGTCAGAGAGGCTCCGCAGAATACAGAAGCTGAGAGGAAGACGGGCTGACGATCAGACGTGGAAATCTGCCTGTATACAGAGTGCATCCCTGGATTGAGAAGTGGATGTGGCACAAAGTTTTAAACTCTTGTTCAAAGCGGGGCACTGAAAGGCTGCGTTTCCTGGTGCTCAAGCTAAATGCCTCGCATGTTATAACATAGAAGTTATTGAACCTAAAAAAAGAGCTCCGACAGACAAATGGAAGACTGTTATTTGTTAATGCCATGCTGTGCTTTTCTGATTCCTTTCTTTATAGTGTGAATGGAGGATACCTGTACATCACCATCATCTACAACTTCTCCGTCAGCTTGGCCCTCTATGCTCTTTTCCTCTTCTTCTTCGCCACCAGCGACCTGCTCAGGCCCTACGAACCCGTCCTCAAATTTCTCACAATTAAATCTGTCATCTTCTTGTCCTTCTGGCAAGGTGAGTTCATCCCTCTCTTTTCCCCCTCGCCACCAGTACATGACACTCGAAATTCAAAGTGAAATAACAACCCCCTTCCCCCCGCCTTCCCATAGGAATGGTCCTGGCCATCCTGGAACGATGCGGTGTCATTCCCAATGCGCTTTTCATCAACGGGCACGAGGTGGGCGCCGGCACAGTGGCGGCGGGCTGGCAGAACTTCATCACCTGCATTGAAATGTTCTTCGCCGCCATCGCCCTCCGCTATGCCTTCACCTGCACCGTCTACCAGGAGAAGAAGAACGATGTGCCAGGTGAGTACAGCTCAGCCAGAGAGCTGGGAAAATCATTCGAACCGACTGTTACATCTTGCGCTCTCCTCTAAGCAATATGCTGACATGTGCTCAGGCTAATTGCCCTCCTCCCTGGCATAATAATGACCATATTGAAAGCAAATGATGGAACATTAATTCACACCTCTTGTTCTGTTTGTATTGCCACGCTGACTTTTACTCATAAGCTAAGATGCCCTTAAAAAAAAAAAGCTTGCTGAGCTTCAAAGAAAACACGTGAAGGTATTTTAAAAACTTGAAACTCTCTTCTCTGATGCTATGAATTTGTTCTTTTCTTTATTAAACAAGAATTAAAGCATCTGGATTTGAACTTAGACGCATTAAAGCTTCTCAAATTATCTAAAATTGCATCTTGTCTAAATAAGAAAAGTAGAATTATTATCTAGATTTATTTAAACTTTTATTAACTTTTCTGTAACAGACAATAGTACAGAGTTAAAATTTAAAGAACCTTATCTGAAACATGACATAAAACAATGTAAATTGCCTTAACATAGTAAGTAGGAATAGAGATAAATGAACAGGCAAATCATGTGAAGCCAACTGAATCCAGATGCTGACTATATCAATCACAGAGGCAAGACTGGCAACGAAAAAAAACATCCAACTGGTTGAAACTTCAAGTGGAACCAAAAGAAAATTAGCATATCATCTGAGTACTCACAAATGAATGTGAGAAGTGATACGTAGCACAAACAAGATTGACAGTGGATAAAATTGAAAGAGCGAGCATTCGTGGTAGTAATTATAGCAAAGCTTTGAAGGTGTACAGTTCTCTCATAAGGATTACCGCTTTAATCTGAAGAACAGTCTCTATTACTGTCAGCGCTAATTGTCATCTATATAACAACGGCGTGGGCTGGCATGACGATGAATAAAAAATTCATCAAAGCAGGGAGCGACATTGTGCGTGACAGTTGGGATTGAGTGGGCAGCCGAGGCCTCTGAACACGGAGCGGGCTGAAGCAGCCGGCTGCAGCATTAAAACACAAAAAGCAGCTCCTGGGCCAGACACAGCGAGCTCAGAACAGAACCCAAAGCTTTGGCTTTTTACTTTACCTGCTCAAAAGCCCAGAGACGACGAGACAAAAAGAAATAGGAAGGTGCAATCCAGCAAAGGGAGCAGATGAAGTTTGTTACATGCAGGCAAAGGGGAAAAAAAGTGAGACTCATTGCAGAATACACCAAAAGAAGCCTGAAAACAGCAGGAATTCTCCTCTGTGAGGACCTAAGTGAGGAGAGAGTGTCGCAGAAATTAAATTGATAGAGGAGGAATGAAAAAGGAATCTCAAAGAGGGAAGAGAAATATTGTGTTAACAAGTGCAGAGTGGGTGTTACAGTTTTAGCATCCGCCCTGCCTGCAGGGAAATGCAGTTAAAAGCAAAGATGCCTTTCGCACTTCTCTTACTGCTTATTGCACAGAATATCAGAAAACAAAAACTTTCTGATGGATGTGAAATTTGTGAAATGAGTCTTATCGTAAACATTCTGCTACCAACAAAGAGGAAGACGGCTGCAATTTGTGTTTCCTTTATTGTCCCTGTCGCAGGTTCATTAGACAGCAGAATTAGAATTCCCTCAGATGTTCATGAGTAATTGCATGAGTTTTCATCCCTGTCAAAAAAGGCAGACGGGTTGTGAGAGTTAGCAGACTATCCTCTACCCCCCCACTTCCACCCCCTCAAAACTGCCCAGCCTTACACTTCTCTTTTTTTCCCAAACCTTTTATAAGCCCACTGCATCGACTTATGGAGGTTGCAGTGCTAGTGACCCTGAAACAGGAAACTGGATGTTCGCCACCTCGCTTTTCTTTTTTTTTCTTTGCACATCTTTTTAGTGCAGGGTTAGAATCAGATGGCTTCACAGCTGGGTGCTCAGTGACCATCAGTGGCAACAGGGACTGATACTGATTTCTGTCTGGTCCATTTATATACTGTGACTGCACACAAAAATGAAAGAAAGAAAAAAAATCGTGCCTTTTGTGTGATATGACTGCTGTTATGTCTCGCTTTGGACAGAATGTAGCAGAGATAAAAAAAACACTGATTTCTAGCTTACTGTTTGATGAAAAAAGAAAGCTTTTCAACCGTTTAAATTCAAATTATGTTATAAACACTGTTTATGTAATGATACATTTCTCAGCGCTAAATTGTTCATCTAACATGTTTGCCTCAATTAGTTTATGAACTCTATGTGGCATGGACATGGAGAGTATTTCTTTTTAATTATGTGTCTAAAAAATGTTCACATGCAGACATTTTTTTTTTTAAATGTGTATTCTAATACACAGACTGGTGCCTACGCTCAGGGAATCAAAGCTTCAACAACACAGTTGCATTTATGGCCTGTTTTACCAAGAAAGTGCTTCTATAACTATGACTTCTTATCCCTACAGAGAACATCCCCCCAATGCAGAGCATCTCCAGCGGCCTAAAGGAAACCATGAACCCAGGAGACATGGTGCAGGACGCCATCCACAACTTCTCCCCCGCCTACCAGCAGTACACCCAGCAGTCCACACAGGAGGTGACCCAGCCCAGCACCAACGGGAAAGTGCTCACCGGCAACAAGAGCTCCCGCAAGTCGGACAAGATGATGCTGATTACATCCGATGACGAATTCTAGGCCGTTTCCTAGCAAGATCCAGGTGTGTGTGCTCTTCCAACCCTTATCTCTGACCTCCCGGGGAAACAGCTGGGTCATATTTCACTGAACCCAGGTGTTTAATTTTATCATCCCAGTATTTAAGTTGGACCGCCCACCCCCCACCCCCACCCCCGTCCTTTTCCCGCGATAGTTCGAGGACTAAAAGGAGCATAAAATCTAACGGTTTAATTTATTTATTTATAGATATCGCCAGAGAACTGGTCTGTCTCCATCTTGCTGTGATAATCAGAAAAATGACATGTCACCTTCGCTTCATCACAGAAGTCTGGAGCCGTGCTTTTTCTTTCAATCAAGCTGCTGGATGTTCAGCTGCGTCCCCGCAGCAGATTCCGTCTTTGTCATTATGCCACTGCTGCTCTCTGGCCGTCTGAAGTGTATTCCCTCTGAATCACGTCACTTTCAAAGAGGAGATGATTAATATGCGAGTACAGGTGGGAGGCAGGGAAGCCAGCAGTGGCTCTTCATGGACCATTTCTCGCATCTGCTTTTTTGAAGTATTTGCTGAGCATTCCTGTTCGTGGTTTCCTGACAAATGGAAGGATTTGTCCGAAGACACATTAGTTTTGGAGCAGGCACTTCAAACTGTAGGATGCACTTCACAATCTTTTGTATCTGCTATTAGAGGGATTCAGCCTGTCTTCAAAACACCGAGTGGGTGTTTGAATGTTCTCATTAATTTCCCCACTATGCTAAAGAGTGAAATGTAGCATAGCAAGGTGGCTATTTAACTGATGCAAATAGTTAGATTTTTGCAACATATTCACTATTTTAAGACCTTTTTAGAGCTTTTCTTTTGCATAATAACAAGCAAAAATCCTATGTTCCAAGGATTATGCAATATATACAAATTTTGATTGGTGTTAATTGTGTTTCAATATGTTCATTTTCTGTAAAAAAACAAAAAAAAACAAAAAAGAAACGTTTGCTTGAATTAAGTGTGAGGATCTTACTGTATTTATTATGTGAAGTTGTGACCAAGAAGCCTGTATTTGTATTGTCAGACACATGGTGATTTATTTAAAATTTAACAAAATTTGTAATAGCTTCGTAAAAACACAAATCTTTAGAGGCCAATTTTTGTATATCATGTCCAAATTTGTTGAATATTTTTTACCCTTTTGTGCCAATGACTTTCTGTGAAAGCAGAAATTAACTTTCATTTGGGTACAAAAGAAAATTCAAGTGGTTTAACTCATGTAGCTGTGCATGCTTTAATGTGAAATAAAGTATGCTTTGTGTCTGTAGAAAACATAAAAGTGAGTTTTTTTTAAGAGGAAAAGAGCTTTATTTAAAAGTACAAAAACTGACAAAGCAGATCTATTTATAGGAATAATTTATCATACTTTCAATCAGAAACAAAAACAAATTGTGTTTGTACATGATAGAGAAAAACATGTAAATGAGTGAATGTAAAACAAAAATAATTTAGATATTTGTTTTTTTTATAAAATTACACAAATCCATTAAATAAATAAAAGCAGATTAACAACAATGTATAAACGGTACACACTCAGGTTGTGTTGCTTTATGCTGTCTTAAAATGTAAATGGAGTGTCTCATTAGGCTCCGATATGTGATGAGACTAAACAGAAAGAAATCCTTGCTCATGCAAACAAGCTTAGTACAGACATTGCAGCAAATGAACCAACATTCAAAGTAATTCATCATGAGCTCCATCCCTTCTACATGGCTGAATTTGAATACTGAAGCTTGTAGGACTGGCAGAGCTGGTTTGTGAAAGCTTATTTCAATGACAGGTTTTCAGACAAGAAAATGTAACCTTGACTTTGTTACTTTTACCACATTTGCATTTTTCTGAACCATTAAAAAGTGAAGCATTGGAATCACCACTGATATCTGAGGCAGATTGATTACAGCTCCACACTACGAGGAGCTTTATTCACTTCTTTAGTCACGGCAAGGATAAACTGTACAGGGTGCAACAAGTTGAACTATGACTAAAAAATATAGATCTTTTGCATTTATTTACATTTATGTATCACTTCTCTTAAAACTGTTTTTTGCTGGTCTGATCAAGAGAATGTTGTCTGAGAGCATGAGTTGACTTGGACAGAGCACTTCATTCACCCAGAGAAAGGTTTGTCTTTTATTTGGCACTGTACAGAAGTATCTGATGTGGGATTTTTTTTTTAAATCTACACGATGAGAAAAATCTGTGACTAAATCTTATTTAAAAAAAACAAGTGCTTTAAAAAACAATGCATGTTTTTCTTACCACAAGAGGTCACTGTTATGCTTGAAAAAAAAAACACTTATTGCTGTTGTGAATCTGTGAACTCAGTAGGATCTCATCTGCCTCAGGCTGGATATGGACCTTCATGCCGACAGGTCTGGGTACACAGCCTTCAAAATTTGTGGATGCATTTCCTAGTAAAAATGACAGAATCCTCACTGTCCAAAAGCTTATGTGGTGACCTTTAAAGATCTGCACTGACTGACCAGGTTTACAAGCAGATTCACATTTAAGAGCTGAAGGTAATGTGAATAGCACTGCAGTCATTTCTGAACATTTATAATAATGTTTCTTTAAGTTGGTAAATTAAGTTATATAGAAATTGGTTTGACATTTTCAATAGCTTTTCTCCTTTTTTTACTCAGTTTTTAAACTGGTCCATGTAATATAACAGGTTTAGTGAATGTCATTTCCCCATTTGCAACCTGAATGTAAACCTAGTCACTGTCCAAAAAAAAAAAGAAAAAAAGTGTATCTGACAACAAGGAAATATGCAGAGAAGAACTATTCATGGGCTATAAATACTCACAGAAGACTTTAGTTATGAGAATAGTTGTCTCTTTGTAAATGTGAACTAAACTTTTGTCCGGAAAAGGTCAACATCTATATAATTAGACTTTAAAAACTGGTTACATAATCACACAGCTCACTCCCGGGATAGTAAAAGACATAAATATAGAAAAATATGTATTACTTATTTATATACTGTGTATGAATACTGTATAAAACTAATATCAGAAATAGAACATGGGACGTATCGACATAGAAATCAGGTGAAAATACAAAATGAGAGTAAGAACACAGCAATGCCCCTGCTTCATAATCGCAGCAGGTTGTACAGCAGCAAAGTTCCCCATACTGTTGCAGCTATGGAACAAGGGAAGAACAGTCATGTCCTCTTAGCCGAGAGAAAATCCTGACATGAACAATCTCTATTGACTTCACTCCAAATTAGGAATGGATCCTCTGTAAGAACAGCTTGATTTCAAGTTAATCTCATGTTTAAATATTACAAAATGTTCAAGACGAGCAGGGGGTGACTACTACATTTTCTTGACGTGGCACCACCGTTTTCTAGAGAAGGCCGTCAGGAGTTCTCTTGCAGAAGAGTGTGTCTGAAGCATGGCAAATAGCTACTGTTTGTGAAATACCAACACCGGCAGCAGCAGTGCTCCTTGTGACCCAGCGGGAGGAATGATTTCTTTTTGGATGGACTTTATCAACAAAAGTGACAATAGAGGCAGTGGTGGCATTGTCTCTTCTGTTCAGTCATATACAGGAAGGCAGTTGAATTGCATAATACTAAGGAAGGGCTGTTCTCGTTATCATTATATCCAATATGGATTACCCACCAAACATCACCTAATAAGTGCTGCAGAATACATTTATCAGAGTTTACCACCCTCAGTTACATTAGGATTGACCTGCTAAAAGCAGTTACATCACATTTAACCATCATGTAGTTTATCCCCAGTAACAGAAATGCAAGAATGGCTTCTGTTATTAGAAAAAGCTGTCTTGTAAATTGGACTTTATACTGCATCTGTACAGTTGCAAGTGCTATGTCATGAAACAAATCTTCTCAATAAAAAAAATATATCAACTACATTCTAATTGGACATTTTAGTCATCCTATATGAATGAACAAAGCATTTTAAATCTGTGACTGCCAACAGAATGGCACACACAGCAGTCCAAACAGCCTCCAAGGCCTTTAACAACATCAACACGTTTCAACTCCACTGAATAATTTGGCAATTACTCAACTAAAATCGACATGACTGTGATATTTTGGACCTACAGTACCTGATGCAGATAACCTGTAGAAGTGAGACACGGCTTTAATTGTGTGTGCAAGTACCAATTCAAGGGTAAAGGCGCAAATGGGCTTTTTTTAAGATGTGGAAATACAATCGAGCGAAGGCTCGCATACAAATTTTGTCCTTAGAGCTGAACTTCGGAAACTTTTCAAACTGTTACCGTTAATCTACCATGAGCAACTACCTAAGAGCCTTTGCTGGAGTGCACTTAGTGCTATTCTCTGGTATTACCAAAAAAATACCAGAACTCCTTCCTTGACTTGGGTAACCACGGCAGAGGCCTAAAAGTGTATGGCTTATAGATTCATGCAGCAGAACACCGTTTGCCTGACAGCTCTGTTCAGCTGGCACCTGAAGGCACAACAAATGTGGCTGTAAAGAGGCACCCATTGACCTCAAAGCTGGTAAATGTAACACCTCAGTGTGTTAAACCACAGGGCAGAAACATGGGTCACTAGTGAAATATCGAAGGCAGCAGCATCAATGTTTTTAAATGTAAATTTCCACTAGGTAATGGTGATTTGGTAAAAGCTCGACAAGCAGCTGGGCTGCCGCATTCTTAAAGCGTGTGTATCTTTTGTCCTAAAGCATTAAGCATCAGAGTGGTCCTGGACCACAAGCTGCCACCAGCGTGTCACATGGGAGTAAAAACACATCTCGGCTATCAGTCGTAGAGGTGGGGGTCACAGGGGCCCGATACTCTGCCGGTGCTGGGGGGCGGAGGGGTTTGAACAGTGCACAGACAACATAGATTGTGTAAGAGGCACAAGGACGGAGACACAACTGTGAACGCAGCATAACATCACATAGAGCTTGCCCCCCCCCCCCACACACTCCATCCATCAGTCTTATTATCAACTGCCGAGCCTCTTCTCAGCCCAGGATGAGTGGGTTCAGGTCAGGTCAGAACCAGGAAGGACCAGGCAGGAAAGGAGAAGCCCAGTCCTGTCAACACTAGGAAGGGGTCGAGAACGGGGCGGGGCCGGAGTTGTTGTGGTTGGCGGACTTGACAATGGTGATGACGCTGGTGGTGGCCACCTTGCCTGGTGAGATCTGCCCCCGGGTCACAGTCCTGGCGAAGCACTGCAGGGCCTCGTACTTGGCCCGCAGCGCCTCCAGCTCCAGCCTCATGCTGGCATTTTCCCGGGCCAGCTTGTCCACCTCCTGCTGCAGTTCGCCCTTTTGTTTCTCCAGCTCCTCCTTCTGGGTGACGCGCTTGATGCGGCAGCTGGCGGCGTAGCCGCGGTTTTTCAGCGTCCGCCGGCGCTGCTTCAGCCGCACGACGTCCTCTTTGGTCAGGCCGCGCAGGTGCTGGTTGAGCTCCCGCACCGACATGGCCACCAGCTCATCGTCGCTGAGCGCCGGAGCATTCTCCCCCGTCTCCCTCTTGACCTGCGGGAACGCGCAACGGAGAATGGGCAAAGGAAGACAAACGTCCGGCCGCGTCTATCAGTGAAAGATTTTTTCAGAGCTTACCTTTAATGCTTTACTCGTCTTGAAATGAGTCGTCATTCCCTGCATGCAAACAACTGACCAGAATCGCTCAGAAGGTACACTGAAAAGTGGACGGAGAGAACCGTAATTAGTCGGGGTTGGTAAACATTCATGCAACACCACCGCAACAAAAAGCATTCAAAATTCAATCAAAAAGAGAAAATATTTGGTGTTCGCATTCCAAGTTGGAGAACGACCTTTGGGATTACAGCTCACAATCACAACTTTCTTTTTCATGGAGAAAATACACAGAGAGAGAGTAAATAACACAGCCATGAAGAAAAATAAATGTTATGAGTTAGTCTTAAATTTTAGGATTATTTGCAAATGACCCAATGAATGTCAGATTTGTGAAACTGCTTCCTCTGTGATATTTTCCCCTTCAAGTGAAACACAGCCTGACTATTTTTGCAGTTTATGTATTTATTTTGTTAATTACCAGCTCATATTATTCCATTTCAGTCTGAAAACTGTAAGTGAACTTGGATAAGGAAACACCTACTGGTCGTTAAGGTTAGTTTTTTTTTTTCTCTTTACTGTACAAAGTATCCTGGGGTCCACCTGGGTTCTCTAAATTTTATATTGCCGAGCTCAGCAATGGTGTCTTTTCAATCCTTCAAAACACACCAAATGTTTTGGGCACTGTATAACATACATTTATCTTGATTTTATTTGTTCTTGAAACCTGAGAAACACCGGTTTTGTGGGTTAACAGAAACAAACACACATACTTTGTAGAAGTAATCTGTCCATGGCTACATCATGTTTTTAAGTCAGATTTGTTGGCTAGGTAAAAAAAAAGACGGCAGCAGATGGCAGCACAACACCACCTCTGAAGCCTGTCTGTATTTACCTGTTAAAGGGAGGTGGGCCGTGCCAATCGAGTTTACTAGACCAGGCAAAATTAGAAACAGGCAACCTCCTCTGTGCTCTTTGATGAACTGTGCATCTTAGCTCTCTGCCTTTGTGCTTTTGCCAGGGCAGTTCTTAGAAAAGGTTCTTGGCACGCATTACAGAGAGGGACATGCTTCTTATGCTGCTGGCATATCCCAAAAAAAAAAAAGAGTGAGTGCTGAGCTGTGATCCTGTGAGAAGCACATATCCCCCAAGGCTCCATTTCAGGAGCGGCTGACCACTCTGCGAGTCGGACTACGAGCCCACTGTTCCATGCTCCCCAGCTGCCATGGAAATATCCTACAAATGGGCGTGGGAGCATAAGTCACATGGTCACCAAAAGGGTAAACAAGTCTCATTCATAACCGCACAACAGCCCGTACATGGTGTAAGTAAGGCCTGCCATATAGTGCCGATAGCCTCAAGACAACCTGTGTCAGCACGCCTCCAGATTTCACCTCATTTTGCTGCTTACTTTAATCTGGTTTTCTGCTCCGTTTTATCCTTTAATCTGAGGCGTCTGGCTGCTATCACACCGCTCTGCCTACTCATCACACATTAAAACACATCGGTGGCATTTGCAGTTATGCTGAACTTTAGAGGGCCGCAGTTACGCCTGTGGAAAATTCCAGGAGATAGAGTGTCACAGAGGAATAGTTTCCTTTATAGTCACTGATTTATTTTTGCTGCGAGACAATGTAGTCTATCGATTTAGGGTTGTCTCTCTGGTTGGATCTTCTTACACTGGGCTTTTCCTGCGCTGCTCCATGCCCTTATTTAACTCTGGTGGATATATTTAGCTCGTAGTGCTGACACAAATTTCTGCCAACTAAACAATTTAGGTGAGTGTGCGATGAGGGAGAGCTCAGTGAGAGGGCAAATACTCTCCAAAGTGCAGTTAGCTGCAGCTTTCATGGAAGAAAATACAGTCGTTTGTGTTGAGATGTTTATCATGTTTTCATGCTCCGGGCTATAAATACTCGTAATGGATTTAGTGAATGTTGCCTTTAATCTGCGTGGTGTCAAAACTGAAAAACAACTTTCCTACTATGAAACATCAATCTGTGTCTGTACAAACAGCTGAAATTGGAAATAAACAAATTAAAATTATATTAAATGACCAAAACCAAGAGCAAATCAGATTCTGTTTAGACACTGAATGAGATTGTGTCTGCACTACTAAAGAATTTTATAAATTACATATCGAAAACATCAATAGAGGAGAAATGACTGCATAAAACGCCCCTCAGCAGCGAGTTGGAATGAACAGCCAAATTCCGAGTGGCACTACGTCTGAGGGGGTCCCTGTGTGTGATCCTTTGAAAGATCATGGAAAAGTAGTGTGGGGCCTCCTCTTCTTCACACAGGGTGCCTCAAGCCAGAATCAAGAGGCCAGGTTGTTTCCTTCAAATTCTTTAGGCGGGTGCTTGTGTTTCTGCAACTTGCCCTCAGACAGGTTTTACATAATCAAGATAGTAAAGTTTTTCTCAGAGGACAAACAGCAATTATAACACACAGCCGAATCCACTCACAGAGGCGAGACAGAACAAAACAAAACTGTTTCTCAGTATAGTCAAGAAAACAGCTCATATTAGGTTTTTCATAACAGTGACAAAAGGAGGCTGGGAAAATACCTCAAAGAAAAGCCGCAGATGGCGGGTAGAGAACAAAACCACATTCCTGAGTGAACACACATGTGCAAACCTCACATGCACAAAAGCAAATGTGCTCTGAAAAGGAAACATGCCTTCTGAGTACGTCCTGCGACGCACTGAGCCGTGGGGGTGGGGTGCAGACTATCTCCACTTGTAAAACAATGGTTGCAAAATTCACAAAATGTCTGGAATTCAGAAGCGTCTCCCAGCCATGTTTGCTTGCCCAAACAAATCAAAGCCAGCTTGTGTGCACATGTGTGCGAGTAAGGAATTGTAAACAAAATGGTTAGCTTCTTCACATTACCTCCGATCTCCGAGCATTTACCGGTTTCATTATGAAATGCACTTGCCCTTTTACTAATAAGACAAAAAATACTTAGTGACCTGAGAGTACATGAACCAGTTTATGGCCATTTTTAAAGCAGAGCCAAGTTTTAACCCAATCGAGAGCCAATAGAAAAACAAGAAAAAGACCGAACTGAGTTTTCAGTTTGACTAAAAGTGAAAATTTTCTGACACCAAATTAGTTTATTTTGCTTGCAACCGCTAATAATGTTTTCGAAGGGGTCTGGAGGAGTTGGTGATTGCACTTAAGTTGCAGCAGGTAACTGTGAGACCCGGCCTTCTCTGAAAATAAACAGCATATCAAAGACCTGTGACTTGGGCTTCAGTGATTAGGGCAGAACTGACTTTCTTTCTGTGAAATTTAAGTTCAGCACAGAGCAGACTTGTTTCCCCCTGACAGTCTGCTGTGCTCATCGGAGAAAGCTTTCAGGCACTTCTTCAAGCAGATGAAGCGATTTCACTCCTGATTGAGGAGCTCAGTGATCTGCTCTTTCTCCCAACGCAGCACGTTTGGTGGGATATTAAATGAAGGAAATGGAGAGCATAGCTGAGCTGTGAGTCATGCTGTTTACTGGTAAAATCAGCGACCATCAGCAGGGAATCACACCCTCCTGATCTGACGTTTCCTGGAAAATCCCGTTGTTTCACAGGGAGGAAGGAAAAGTACAGAGAACCTTGGAAATGGTTGGCATGATTGGCCGGAACTTTTGTGCGGAAAGGGAGGAGGACTCGCTGAGAAATGCTCTCCTAGATTCTTGGATGAAAAAAATGTCAAGAATGCAAGCGACGGGGAAACTGCCGTACCATTTTTTCCATTGTTAGAACCAACAGTCATTGAATAATGAGGACAAATAGTAAAGGTTCCCTCAGCTAATTGTCCCTTGCAAAAAAAAAAAAAAACTGACTTGACACTTTCATAAGGACTTGTCAGACAGGGCAGCAAAAGCTACACACTGAATAATTTGGAGCTACAACATGTTTGTGCTGCCAAAGGCTTTTTTTTTTCTCACAGCAGATTGTGCAAAACTCTGTCAGAGTGAGCAGAGTATTCCTAATAGACCAATCAACAAATATAGAAATGAGTGGCCCTGTCAGCTACTTCACTGGTGAACAAGATAATGTCACTTTTACACAAAAGCAACGAGCTGCTTCTCAAATGAGTGTAGGTGGCGGTGAGCCCTTTCAGACGTCTCCTAACTGCCACTTTGGATGCAGCACAGATCTGTCCACACAGCCATCTCATATTGCCTGTTTACATTTCGTCTGTCGCATTCAGCTGTGTGTAAAATCACAGGTTTCCAAAGTCAATAATCAACAGCTGACCTCTTTTTTCCAGTAAGCGGAGCAAAAACACATCATAGGGTGCATGTTCCCTGTGACTCATCGCGTCAGCTACCACAAATATTTCACTTTCACAACACTCCACCACAAAAACGTCCTGCTCTGCGCGCCGCTTTCATCCGTCGCCACCGTCCAGCAAAAACTGCAGATGCCATGTAACCCAGCACAGATCGACCGTATATACGGCATCTTTAGGGGGGGATTTCTCCCAGCGGGCTCTGGTGGTAAGATGAGTCCGCGGCCGTAACTTCTCCATCCAAAAAAGACATCATCACTTTGGTGACTGAAGCACATGTTAACCTCATGACAGGACTACACTCGCTCCCGCTCATGTGTACGGGGCACCCACCAGTGCATCAGAAAAGCCCCCTGGGAACAGATCTGTGGCACATCACAGAGGAACATATTACTCAGAGACAAATATTTTCCATTTATTAATCATAGTGGCATTAAAAAGGAGCCTCGAGTCCAAGACATTATGTAAAAGTGCGCACATAAAACACAAGATCAGTGAGAATCATGTGGCATTAGGTCATTGCACTTCCAGGGCATGGCTTCCTTGTCTTTAGCCAAGTAATGAAGATTTATGCTTGGAAAGAATTATAGCTACACAAAGCGATAAGATAAAAACCCTTTCTTCCATTAGGGTGATTTATTGTTTGTGGAAATATGTGTTCCTCCTGCTGTTTAGATAGTTTCTTCTGGCAGCCCTGGTGGTCTGGGGTGCCCTTTGTCCCACATGTCTAAAATGCAGACCACGTGTTGATTCAAATGTCAAAAGCAGCCTAGTAT